CCAGGCCTCCAGCAGTGGAATCTTAACTGGAATCTTAACCACTGAATTGGCAGGGAATTCCCCCCCCCCCCGTAAAGCTTTGCGCATTCTCTCTCGTGTATAAGGTCCAGGGATTGGGAGCTTGAGGCCAGCTCACCGACCTCATCACATAGTGTCTGCACGGTCCTGCCCAGCCCGCGGCCAGCAGGCGCTGCCCCCACTCCCACTCCATGCCTCATCTTCAGGGCCAGAGGACCTGCCCTCCCCCCGCCGCAGCACAGGTGGGAGAGGCCCCAGCCCAGCCCTCTCATTCCATGCCTGGCGAGAGCACCAGCAAATCCTCCAAACAAGGCCTGAATCCACCGCCCTCCTTGCCAAAGTCCACCACCTCTCCGCTGGCACCGCAACAGCTGGGAGGAACGCACAGTGGGCCTTAAGAAGCACACCTCAGCTGCCACACCCCCACTTACAACTCTCTAGTAGGAGTTTCCGCCGTGCCCAGAGCACAGTGCTACCCCCACTGCGCATGGGGCTGGCACAGCCACCCTTGGGCCCGCCTTGTGCAGGGCAGCCCCTCAACTCCCGGTGGCATGTCCCAGGCCTGGCGCTGGACCCTGCTGCCCCCCACTACCCTGACTCACCTTCCACCTTCATGATCTGGTACGTGTCCTGAACGACCTTGTATTTGGGCTCGTTCCGGAATGCATGCGCCCAGGCCTGAATCAGGTACAGGATCTTATTTCGGACGTTTACTTCCACCTGCCTCTGTGGAGAAGGGAGGAAAGAAGATAAGAACCTTGGGAGAGGCAGGTGCCAAAGGGACATCTCAGCACGAAAAAGCAGCTGGCAAGACCCCAACACTCCGAGCAATTGGGGCTGGCAGAGGTGGGGCGGGTCCCCCAAGTGGGGCACCAGGGCCATGTAGTGACCCACTCCCCAGACCCAGGCCTACTTTAGGAAGCCCTGTCCCCAAGGACAAATCCATTGCACCTGTCTGCCCACTCAGGACCTGGACTTATCTTTAACCGCCTAGGCGAAGCTGCACATCCCTCAGGTGGAGGCTCTCAAATCCCTACTGCCCCGTAACTACCTGCCTCTCCCCACCCCATCGCCGTGCCCTACAGGACACTGACCGCCTAGCGAGCTCCTCAGCCTGTAACCCACTCTGTTGCTGGCTAAGGCCAGCCTCTAACAGGCAGAGCGAATCAGGCCTGGGCTGAGGAAGCAGATGCACGGTCGGCTGGCCCCCTCCTTCCAGTCATAGGCAGCGGGGGCAGGCGGGGGAGTGGCTCCAGAAAGTTCCCCACATACAGAGCCACCACCACGAACAAGCTAAGGCACAGACAATCACATTTCTAGAGCTCTCTCAGGATCCTATCCACACACAATGCTCAGGATGGTGGGTCAAGAAAGCTGCTTCAAGACACCAAGCACAGCTCACGTGCCAGGGTTCCCACTCTTCCCTGTAATCGGGGTCCAGTCAGTGGACCCCTTTCCAGGTAGCCCTGCCCCTGTGAGGACTCAGACCATGTATAGTGTGAACAGGACATGATCATGCCAGGACAAGGAGGGCGGGTTCTAACTCCTCTGCTGTCACCCAGGCCACAGCAGGGGCTGGCCAAGTCACCAGTCAGGGCTTTGGAGAAGCCCCGCCGTCAGCTCAGCCCCAGACGGGCTCCTGGCTGTGAGGCCCACAGGCGCCCAAAGGGCCCAGGCCACAGTGGCGGCGGAGTTGGTGCTGGGGCTTCACTCCCTGGTTGCGACCCAGGGCACCCACACCCTCAGCTCCCTGGGATGCCCCTCACCCACAGGGGGGGTGGGGGGGGCGCGTAAAACCCACTGCCCTGGCGTCCCTGCTCTGCTGTTGCTGTTCTCCAACTCTCCCTCCACAAGCACTCATGTGCCTCCCTGCTCAGAATTCTACCCAAGCCTTTGGGGACCCCAGGCCTCCACTTACATCCTCTGCCCATGGCACACAGCTCCCTCCCCACCTTCTCCACTGCTCAGTGAGCATCCCCTGCCCTTCAAGACTCAGCTCCTGCCCCCCAGGAAGCCTTCCCAACTTTGCAGGAGGAGTAGGGTCTCCTCCACACCCCCAGACACAGCCTCGCTGACTTCTGGGAAGGCCTGACCTCACCAGGCAGGGACCACGAACACTCGCCTTCCAGCCCTCCAGCACCTGGCACTGTTCCCACCAGCAAAGCCCCAAGAAGCCCGTGGGGTGGTGCACCCCAATCTGGGCCTCCCTGCTCCCCACAGAGTGCCCACCTTCAGCAGCTCCTTCAGCTCCTCCATGGTCTGCTTGTTCGCCACCTCATCATGAACCGTCTGGCCACAGTTCTTCACCACGGACTCCATGACCTGCAGACCCCAAGGTGGGGTAGACTTAAGTCTCTGGTCAGGGCAGGAACTCCCCATCCTGGATGGGCCCACCTCCCCACAAGAAGGCGGGCCTCAACAGGGCCCTCAGGCCACCCAGCCGGACAAGAAAGCCCGCGTTACAGCCTCTGAGGCAGGAACCAGCCAGGGTTACACCTGCTTCTTCTAACTCTGTGTTTTATCACCAGGGACAGACACTGGAGTCAACCTCAGGGCCCACACGTGTCAGCCTCAGGTGGAACAGCTGAGGCATTGCTCCCAGCCCTGCCCCACGGCCCCAGTGCCTCCACTTCTGGCGGTGTGCCCATCCCTGCTATCCCCACCAGTGCCATCTGGAGTACAGGGTCTGATTACCTCTAGGGCATACAAGGCCACGTGGGGATTCTTGTCATTGACTTTCTTCTTGATGGAGCTCACTGCATATTTTGCTCTGACAGAAAAAGGCATTGATAAAAGCAGAAAAAGAGAAAAGAAAACAGCCTCTAAGACTGAGAAAAGCCCACCCACCATCTGGTCCCTGAGACACCCCCCAGGCAAATGTCCAGGTAACTGTGCCCTCCCAAGCTGTACAGAGAAAGTCCTTTAATCGTCCCAAGATCTCAAAAACCCCAGCACACAGACCACACAGTCCTCCACCAGGGCCTAACATGGTTGGCTTCCATCCAGGCAGGATCTTGGAAGATGAGCGGACACCAAGCAACCCTAGTCCACAGGGTAGCCACCCCATTGCTTTTGAGGGAGCACTTACTGTGTGTCCCCCTGGCGGATCAGGTCACAGATCTGGAGGATGGACTCCCAGTCGGTCTCCAGAAGAAGTTGGCTGGTCGCTTTGTCTAAGACAGAAACTCACCATTACAGGGGCTCATCCTGCTCTGTGATTCCCCAGGTGGCCCCCCAGCTCAGCAACAGGGAGGAGGGACTGCCCCCTTCCCATTTTAGACATTTGGACCAAACAGAAAACTACTGAAAATGCTCCTGACACCTGACAATAACCATGAAAGCACTGTCCTTCCTGAAAGACAGACAAACAGCTTGAAAAATAACAATGGAGAACACTGTTGTGAGCTTTTTACATGCCAAATGCTGTTCCAAACATTTTACGTGAACTCACTCAATTCTCACACGACCTTAAGAGTTAGGTGAGATTTCCACCTTCTCTGAAGACACAGAAACTGAAACAGAGAGGTGAGGTCACTGCCTGAAGTCACACAGCTTGCTGGGGCAAAGCCAGAATTCAACACTATGCTCAGCTGTTTCTCAACAAAGAGAACTCCGCTGCCTCATCCCTCAGAGTCCCTGGTTTTTCAGAAGCTTAACCTATTTGATTAGCTCTCAGCTGAGGCATGGCTGGAGAGACATGCAGCAGAGACCCCAGTCCTCTGTTTCAAGTGTTTTGTGGGGTGCAGACAGGATCGACCCGCCAAGGAAGGATTCTCCAACTACCACCTCTAGTCTATGTCGCTGTGGCCTCAGACAGACAGATGTGCTGCTCAGGGGTTGCTCTCCAGCCCAGCCAGTACCATCTTCCCTGGAGTTGTACAAATGGTCAACATGGATCTGGGAGTAACTTCTGGACTAACCACTGAAGGGCTGAACAACCTCATAAGCTGAGCTCCTCGGCCTGTATGTTCAATGAGCAAGGAAGGCGCCTCATCTGAGGTCCCTCTGAAACCATATTCAAGGAACAAGGAGGGCAGGCTCGGGGTGACCATTCCAGTACCCAGAGCACCGATCCCAAACACAGAGCACACACGGTTACATGGAGTGGTGGGGGCTCGCCCATAAAAATCGATTTTCCTTCCTAAAATCTGTGACCTCCAGGAGGCTCAGAAGGATCAACTATCCACCCCAGAAAACAGAGAAAACACCTTCCTAGCCCTGGGCGCTTCCGGGAGCCCAGTGGGGACACAGGGCGCAGGTCTGGGTCTCTGGGGAAGCAGCGCTCCAAAGAGCTTGGCAGGACCTACAGAGGACATTGCTGGCTCCACCCTCTGGGGCCCATGTATGGGTCAGAACTCCCAAATCCCACGCAACCTAGGTTTTAGTGGGGAGAGTCTACTGAGATTTTACTATTTCACTGAGTCACCCGTTTTCGTGACTCAGGACGTGAGGCCTGTTCGGCCAGACGCTGGTGGTCGTTTCCCCAAGGCCCCTGGCCCGTGTCCTACGCGGACCCTCATTTACTCGGCCGGCGCCGGGGCCGCGCCCCGTACCGCCGGCCCTGCGTCGCCTGCGCGCCCGCCCAGGGCCCGGGTGGCGCGGCGGTCGCCCCGGAGCGCTGGGGCCCAGGGGCTTTCGCTCCGGGGGCGGGGGCCGCGTTACCTAGGAGACGCTCGAAGGTGCCGCTGCCGCGCCCCATGGCGACCCAGGAACCCGACCTAACGCCGCAGCTCTCCCCGCTGCGAGCCGGCGCGCCCCCGACTTCCGCTTCCGCCTGCCGCCTCGGGTGCGCGCACGCGCACGTCGCTGGCCTGCTCGCGAGCCGCGGGGAGGCGGGCCTTTCCGCTCGCCCCAGACGCTGGGCGCAGATTGGACCGCGCCCACTGAGACGGTAAGCGCTGAGAACCAATGAGCAGCCCGGGGGCGAGGCCTGGCGTCGCCAGGACGCCGAGCCGCGGGGGTAGAGTGGAGCGGGGAGCGGGATGTGTCTTCTGCTCGGGGCCACGGGTGTGGGGAAGACGCTGTTGGTGAAACGCTTGCAGACTATCCTTCCGCGCCGGGTGGGGGGGATGGGGCCTGGGGTGCAGGTCTGGGTCCGGGGCCTGGGGGTTCGGGGGGCGCTGGTGGCGAGCGGGGTGGGGGGCGCCCGGGCGGGGGGTGGGGCGCCCGGGGCGGTGTCCGGCCAGCGCTCCCTCCTCGGCCCCGCTCGGAGACCTTGACTACCTCGCACAGCTGAGCTCCCGGGATGGGAAGGGCGACCTGGGCGATCTTCCCCCCACGCGGCCCACGGTAGGCGTCCGGCCTCTTGCAGGTTTAGGAGAAGTGCGGTTAGAAGAGCGCTTTGGGTTCCTTTTTTTGTGATATTTATTTATTTATATATTTGGTTGTGGCAGGCGGGCTCCTTAGTTGCGGCATGCATGTGGGATCTAGTTCCCTGACCAGGGATCGAACCCAGGCCTCCTGCATCGGGAGCCCGGAGTCTTCACCACTGTGCCCCCAGGGAAGTCCCTAGGTTCCTTTAAATGGAAGCTGGGGTCTGGCGGGTCAGTGTGTTCAGTACAGACTTGAGGTGGTGTCGCCGCGGGGAGCCTGGCTCTGCTGGACAGAGTCCCAGGGGATCCGGAGCCTCCCGCCCCTCACTACTGGTCAGACTGCATTTGCTGCTCGCCGCACAGGGCGAATCCCGCTGGTGGGCATTGGTGCCCTGGCCACAGCCAGCCTTGAGGGTTCTGGATGCCTGGGAGCATCTTCAGGCCTCCTCCCTTACGGGTTCCGCCTTAGGGCCTAAACACTTGAGAAGACCTATGCTAGGGGTTAGGTTGCAGTGTAAAGGGCTGGGCATGTTGCTATCCAGGAGTTCCGTGTGGGAAAGCGCTTGTGGTGGTCTCTGTGCATCCTGGTTTTTTCCACAGGTGGGTACCAACCTAACGGACATCGTGGCTCAGAGAAGGATCACCATCCGGGAGCTGGGGGGGTGCATGGGCCCCATCTGGTCCAGTTACTATGGAAACTGTCATTCTCTCCTGGTAGGTCCTGTTATTCTCTCCTGGTAGGTCGTAGTCTTTTGAACTTCCTTTGGGGAAGTATGTCCCTATTCCAGCGTTGTCTAGTCCCCAGTTTCACTTTGTGTGGGATAGAGATCGGTTTCCTGGGCAACTGTGCGAGCCAGGGAAACAGGGTCCAGACTAGAGTTGCTTCCTTCTGGGACCCCAGCCTGATCCCTAGGGCTCCTGAGCCTAGGCTAATGTGAAAACTCACAGAAGGCTTGCTGAGGGCAGTGTGCCTTTTCTGCAGGTAATTGTGCCATCCACTCACTGCCTTATTGCCCTGGGTGTGTTTTTACATTTTATGTTTGAATTCTATATATCCTGGTTCGTCCCATCCTGGCAAGGCCTGTGCCCCAAATTCTAGGACCCTTCCTTGGAAAAGTAATGGCCACACAAGTAGAGACTTCCATGTAGGTGGAAACAAATAAATAACACCAGTCCTTCTTGCACAGCTCACTCCCCTCTGCTCCTCCCTTTCTGGAAGCCTTTCTTGCTCTTCCTGAGCCAGGCCCGTGATGCGAGGAGAGGAAGTCTGGCAGGGATGGTGTTCCATTGCAGGGGGGTCCTAATTTCCATTTACTTCTTTCCAGTTCATGGTGGACACCTCTAACCCTACCCAGCTCTCTGCATCCTGTGTGCAGCTCCTGGCTCTCCTTTCGGCAGAACAACTTGCAGAAGCATCGGTTCTGATTCTCTTCAATAAAATGTGCGTGTCTGTGAGCTGAGAGGAAACGCAGGGGTGCCCCAGGGCGGAGCTCCTGTGGAGTGTAGCCAGGAGGGTGGCTCGTTAGGGAGGGGGTGCAGCGATGGCAGCCCAGTCTGACAGGTATTGCTTTCACTCCAGTGACCTGCCCTGTTACATGACCATAGAAGAGATAAAGTCGTTAATCAGGCTCCCGGACCTCATTGCTTGTGCCAAGCAGAACATCACCACGGTAGAAATCAGTGCCTGGAAAGGCACCGGCTTGTCAGAAGTGCTGCGCTGGCTCGAGGACACCCACAGAACGAATGGTTGACTGCAGGGCCGAGAAGCGTGGCTGGCCCGCTCTGTGGCAAGAAGGCAGAAGCAAGCACTGCTTGGCTTCTGGCCATCTGCTGCTTTTATAAGGGCAGGATAAGCCCTAGAAGATGGGGTTCTGTGCTGAGTTGCAGTGATGGGTAAACTGAGGCACCCAGGTTTTAGAATTCCTGACATCTGCCCTCTGGCTCCAGAGCTGGGAGAGGAGGACAGGCCTTTCAGGTGGCTTGTGTCCTACACCGTCCTGGGATGGTTCTAGGGGATTTGTTCCCCTGCCCACCAGGAGAGCTGCTCTCTCAATTCTGACACAAGCTCCAACCTGTTGAGTTTCTGATACCTTGACAGTATAAGGAAGCTTGTGGGAAAACACCTATTGCTTGGTGCATTTGTGTCCTAGGGCCTCTGTAACAAATCGCCACAAATGGTGGCTTGCAGCAGCATAAACTTATGTTCACGGTGCTGGAAGCCAGAAGTGTGGAGGCTCTGAGGGAGAATCCAATCCCTGCTTCTAGTGGCTGCTCGTGCCGCTTGGTGTCGTTGGCTTGTGGCTCACAGGACTTGAATCTCTGCCTCTGTCTTCACGTGGTCTTCTCTCCTTTTTTTATAAGGAGGATGTAGGGCCCACCCTAAATCCAAGGTGATTTCATCTCAAGATCCACAGTTACATGTGCAAAGATCCTTCCAAAGGTCACCTTTGCATGTCCCGGGGGTTACAACTTGGATGTATCTTTTGGGGCCACTATTAAACCTACTGCAGTCTGGTAAGAAACCCTCTGCTTCTGCATGTGGTTGTGAGTTTCCTACAACAGCTTCCTCTGTCTCAGCTGGTGGTCTAGCTCATTGGGCCATCGGCCCAGGCCCTCAGCCTCCTCGCGGTTTCCAGTTGGTCACTCTGCGGGGATGAGGGGAGCTCTGTTCTACAGAGGTTTTAAATGGCGCTCCGAGAAAGCTCTGTATGTCCTGCAGGGCAGTGTGGTCTCAAGTCTTCCTTTCCCTGTTGAAGCGATAGGCCTCCCAGTTCAGTGCTGCCGCTCCCTGGGAAGGTTCTCAATTGGCTCTTGGATGTACAGGGCCAGTGCCACCTTCTCAGGCAGACCACGTAGGTGCCAGTGGTCCCTCTCCATGGTGGGTCTGTGGAGATTTCACAGGACCCACAGTGACTGGCTGGCAGATGTCCCCCAATCTCAGGGCACTGAGGAGAGCGTGGCCAGACCTTGAAGTGTCAACCATGCGTGGGTCACATGCCTAGTTCATCTTTTGGCTTGAGGCAGGTGTGTTTTAACAAAGCATTTTAGCATTTTCCAAATGAGGCTGGTACAGGTGGCACTGTTGAGGCCCTCCGAGGGCTTTTGGAAGGCCGGCATGGCCCCCATTGGTCTCATGGGGACCCAGGGCCCCAGCACCCCTGGGTCTCTCTAGGGTGGGAACAGTTCACACCAGCCTGCCTCGGCCACCCCTGTGGTTGTGTCTTTGCCCCAGCCACTCTGACCCCAGGGTCAGACATCCAGGCCCAGAGGGGACAGGCAGGGCTACATCCGTACTCCAGGAGATTGGCCTGAGGGGTCTGGGCTCCCGTTGCCCTGTGTCCTCGACCCGCTCCTGTTTCCCTAGGTGCTCTGAGAAGCGGCTCTCGGTTGGAGTAAATGTCCTCTGTGAAGAGACCCTGGAGCTGGGCAGGTGATCCTGAAGAGCCCTGAAAACAGTTTTCCCAAGACCTGCAGGACAGAGCAGCCAGTTTTTGGAGGTGGTGACTGGCTGGACGGCTCAGTTTGAGGCCATGGAACGGTGCTCTGCGGTGCCCATAACACCTGAACATGGGTGCAGCGGTGGTTTGGAGCCCTAGTGGGGACCGCTCTGTGACTGTGACCCTGGAGGGGGTGCTGGCCACCTGGAACCTGTCTTTTCCCTTCTGGGATGAAGCGAGGTTCTGAGCAGAGGCTGTCTGGGACCTGAGAATCTGGTGAGGGGCTGGGCACTCTCCCTGGAGAACATGCCACCTGCACATACTCCCCGTTCGCCCAGGTTACAGGGTGAGCTTCCAAATGCTGGGGTCCTGCTAGGCCCCCCAACACCACCCCGCAAGGTTGGCTGTCAGAGGGGCCCATCCATCCTCAGTGTCCCCGTTCTCAGAATTGCCTACAGAGCTTGGCAACATGGTGGCTGGACGGCCCCAGAGCTGCTGACGTGGCCTGGGTGCTGCTGAGGCCTTGCCACCTGCCCTGGTGGCTCCTCGACTCGGCCACGCTCTGGCTAGCCCCAGCCCTCCTTTCCTTTTGCCAAGCCTCCCACAGGGCCTCCTCTCCTCTCCCTCCGTGCCTTCCAGTCCCCACAGGCCCCTGCTCAGTGTTTCCATCAGGTTGTCCCCCACCCCCACTCTAGTCAGCTGCGGGTAGAGAGCTCCAGATCAGCCAGGGCTTCAGTTTCCACCAGGCCTTGCTTCAAACTGCTGATGTGCCAGAAATGGCACGTAAATTCCACCTTCCATGTCCTCCACTGAGGGTGCTGGGGATTGTGCCAGAGAGCAGGAAAAAAACAAAACGGCTCAGGAAGAGACACAGGTCGGGGGAGAGACGGACCTGGGATTTCCAGGTCCCTGCTACCAGCAAAGGCCACAAGTTTCAGGAGAGACAGTTCTGAACGGCCCCATCCAGTGATGGAAATGCCCACTGGTGCTTGGAAAAGCCACTGAGCCTGCATCTCCGGGTTTCCAAGTATGGACTCCAACCATGGAGTGAGTGACACCTGGGAATAATGTGCTGCTCGGATCTGCTGGGTTTTATTACCAAGAAAAAGGTGTTTCAACTAGGGGAGGAGACTGCCTCCCCTATGGCTCCTAAGCTGACATGCAGAACAGGCCACCCTGAATGACAGCCTGATGTGCAAACCAACAGGCCACCTGTTAGTGCACCTTATAAACTGGTGTGTCTGGTGGAGCGGACACACCTGCCCCTGCTGTTGGGTTCCTCTGCTGTTCTTGGTCTGGGCCTAGTGAGTGCCGGGATCTAAAAGAAGGAGCAGCAGAGCTAAGTGGCCCTAAGAGGGAGGAGCTCTGTTACCACACACACACACCCCGAAGCTGGGGCAAGTACTCCATCCAGCGGGAGGGAAAGCAGCAGCCATGGTACTTGCCTGCACAGCCCACTGTGGACCCCCAAATTCCATGTGGATGCCACAGGGCCCTCTGAACTCAGTACTGACGTCTCAAAAGTGCTGATGAAAAAAAAAAAAAGGGCTGCCCTGGTGGCGCAGTGGTTGAGAGTCTGCCTGCTGATGCAGGGGACGCGGGTTCGTGCCCTGGTCCAGGAAGATCCCATGTGCCACGGAGCGGCTGGGCCCGTGAACCATGGCCACTGAGCCTGCGCGTCCGGAGCCTGTGCTCTGCAACGGGAGAGGCCACAATAGTGAGAGGCCCGCATGCCGCAAAGAAAAAAAAAAAGTGCTGATGCCGACACCTGGTGTCTGTGTTCCCAGACTAGCTTGGGGGTGCAAGAGTCCCCCAGGTATCAGGCAAAGACCGCCTCCTGCTGGCCCCAGGCCCAGAGCAGGCCTGGAGCACTAGTGCTGTCACGTGCAAGTTTTATATTTTGTATAAAGTATAAAACAATGTGTTTAAGATAATTCATTTGCTCACCTGTTAAAAATGAGTAAAAGAAAATAGTTTTAAAATATCAGTAAAATTAGGGGAATTCCCTGGCGGTCCAGCAGTTAGGACTCTGTGCTTTCACTGCAGAGGGCCCAGGTTCAATACCTGGCCCGGGAAACTAAGATCCTGCAAGACACGTGGCATGGCCAAAAAAAATAAATCAGTAAAATTAGATAATTTAATGAATTGTGAATTTCATTCACAAAGTGATAGCTTTTTAATATTTAGGAGTAAACTGTCAAGAAATGTAAAGGACACATACGGAGGAAACCACAAACTAGCAGCAAGGAAGAGAAAAGCTTTATATACACAGTGGTTCTTAACTGGGGCAGTTTGGCCAGTCTGTAAATATTTTGGATGGTACAGCTGCAGGGTAGGGACTGTGCTCCAGCATCTATATGTATCTATAAATATAGAGAGAGGGAGAAAGAGAGAATGAAATTTATTTTAAGGAACTACCTCGGTACTTCCCTTGTGGTGCAGTGGTTGGGAATCCGCCTGCCAATGCAGGGGACACAGGTTCGAGCCCTGGTCCAGGAAGATCCTGCATTCCGCAGAGCAACTAAGCCCATGTGCCACAATTACTGAGTCTGTGCTCTAGAGCCTGTGAGCCACAACTACTGAAGCCCACACGCTCTAGAGCCTGTGCTCCGCAACAAGAGAAGCCACCACAATGAGAAGCCCGTGCACTGCAACGAAGAGTAACCCCTGCTTGATGCAACTAGAGAAGGGCTGCACACAGCAATGAAGACCCAATGTAACCAAAAATAAATAAATAAAAAATAAGTTGAAAAAAATTTTTTAAATAAAACATTTTAAAAAAGGAACTAGCTCATGTGATTTTGGAACCTGGCAAGTCCAAAATCTGCAGGATGAGCAGCAGGCTGGTGACCTGGGTTGGTGGTACATTTCCAGTCTGAAGGCCATCTAGGGCAGATTCCTTCTTGCTTTGAGGGGGAGGTCAGTCTTTTCTGTTAAGCTCTTCAACTGATTGGATGAAGCCCACCCACCTGTATTATGGAGGGTAATCTGCCCTACTCATAAGGTCTACTGATATAAATGTTAATTTCATCTAAAAAACACCTTCACAGAAACATCTACAATAATGTGTCCCATGGTGGACATGAAAGTGAGTTCCTTGGTCTGTAGAAGTGATGGTCTGCTGTCCAAACTGGTGCAATATCTTCTGTTGTGATTCTTTCATAGTATTCTGAGCATTTGCATCTACCACCAGGGCAGCAAAGCACAGTCCAGGGTTGGCGCCTCTTCATGTCAGGACCCCCTGTAGCCCCAAGCTTCTGGCATCAGTCTGACTTGCCCCCTATGCTCAGGGCCTGCCCACCAGGGCACCTGCT